GGAAAATAGCTTGAAAAGTGACTGGTCCGCGGGAAAACTGGAAAACTCGCCGGAAACTGGGTAAACTTTAAATGTTCATAACTTCTTCAATACTCAACGAAATCGAGTGATTCAAAAACAAAAATCATACTTCTCGACCAGACGAAGAGAATGGTATTTTTCTTTACTGCTAACTTGCCGTAGTTTGGCCGAAAATTTTCTCAAAAATGACTAACTCGAAAATGGGTAGCCGCTTTCGAGCCGTTGTTCGACCAAACAACGGCGAGTTAGCTTTTGAAAAAGGTACCATTCTCTTCGTCTCGTCAAGAAGTATTATTTTCGTTTTGAATCACTTGATTTGGTTGAGTATTGAAGAAGTTCTGAACGTTTAAAGTTTACCCAGTTTCCGGAGAGTTTCCCAGTTTTCCCTTAGACCAGTCACATTTCAGGCTATTTTTCGGCCATTTCCAACAACCATTGGGCTTCCAAATAGGTATAATTTTATTCTACACTTCCCTATCTTTATTTTGATATATTATGGGTCGAATTTGGTTAAGAAACGATTGAGTTACAAAGCTTTGAAAATTACCTAAAATTGTTTTTAACGGAATGACCAAAATCATGGATAGTGGACAATCACAGGGACCATTTCTATTGATTTTCAATCTTATGGACCATTTCTATTGATCATGCAAATCTTAGGGACCATTTGTGTAATAACCCAATTATTAATTGAGCATGACCAAACACCCTAGTTCCGAAATTTGCCTAGCCTTACTCACCATTAGCCTACCATTTATCCACGGGCTTTAGCGCCGATCTTTCTCTCTTGTTTTTTCCTCTGTATATCTGACAGCTTCCGGTACCTGTTCAAATGAAATTTACGAGAAAGTTGGGCTACTTGAAGGGCTGATATAGTTCAAAAATTCGATTATTTCACATGCAATAAAATTAAAAGAAGGAAACAGCGAGCAATAAAGAAAAGTGATTGGAAAATTGATAATTTACATGTTAATAGATTATTTGCTATGACCATATCTTGAAAGTAGATGTTTTGAACTTTTCAGGTTGTTTGGATAAACGCTACTTTCATTTCTGATGCGTTTGTAGAAGAGGTGTTCAATCTCACACAAAAGTGGCTTGAGCCATTTGAGCCATCTTTTGTAGAAATCCGTCAAAACAGCAGTCTACTAATAAATTCAGCTCTTTATTGTTTGTCTTTAGGGGTTTCTATGTCTTTTGAGATGTCTCAGGGGGTTATAATCTGTTTATTTAAGCCATTTGGCTTCTCATTTGTGAGCATCTTTCATCTTTCAATCAATTAATCAAATTATCCTTTGGAATTTGTATCAAACTGGTGAACACCAGAATTTTATTCTCCAAGGATTTACGCTTGTTATTCTTACTAACTTCGTAAGTTATTAAGGGATTCTATTTTCATCTTTTAATTCTTCCACCTAAGAGTTGACTGCTTCATGGATTAGGATGTAGTTTAAGACTAACAGTGGTTATTAAGGTTTCTATTACTAAAATTTGGTCGCATTAGATGTCTATAGGATTTATGTGGGTTTATGAAAAGCTGTGTCTTCCTGCTCAGCCACAGCCAAAATTTTGGAGGAAAATTTCCTTTTCAAAATTTTCCTTTCCGCCCTCCCTTTTTACATCAGATTTGGGCACCTGGAAATCCAGGATAAGTTCACATATAATTTTATTTTCCTACAAAATACCAAAAGCATATTAAAAATTATTAATGATTAATTTAAAAGTGTGAAAAACAATGCAAACGCTACTCATTGTATTCTATGTGTTTCGACGATAGATGCATCGTCGTTTGGATTTTTAAAACTATACATACCCACTAATGTATGGTTAGCATTTGAGTTTAAAGTTTAATAAACAATACTTTATACCAAATTTGTGTCATGATCCGCACCGTTGGTCCGTGAAGGTTGGAACGTACAGGAGAATTGGCGTTACATCTAAAGTCTATATCCCAAACTAACAAGTCTTGTTTTTGGTAAAGCCCAAACTAACGCGTCTAAACCAGCCCAACAACAACAAACCAAATGACCCAAGACATGGCCCAAAATTACAACAAAAAATAAACCAAACAAACACAAATGCAAATAGGTTCGGTCGATCAGAGATGCCAACATCAAGCGGTACTTCACATGTTCTAATACAAGTAGATGAAACAATATATTTTTTTATGTATCTCTAATTATTTTTTGACACATAAAGTACCTACTTGAATACTAAATATTTTAATAATTTTCTCACTATTGAGGTTCAACCTCTTTTAAAATAGATGAATCACGCCAACTAACAAATGCCCTTGCACCACGGCTTGTTTCTATCCATTGATTTTGCTTTGATTTACTTAATTCCAAGGCTAACGAAATAGAGGAGTGCATGACAAGAAAATAGTAGTAAGAATCACTTCCCTCTTAACAACACAAAGCATTTAAGTAGACACATGATATTACATAAAACTGTGAAGAGAAAACCACACTTCAACGGTATTTGACAAACCTTCCAAAAATTGACAACAAAAACCAATTTCATGAATCGCAAACCAAAAGAGATTTTCCATAACAATATGAGACCTGAAAATCACCTTCTAACTATCCACCACTATCCATAGGGCTAAATTTTATCTAAGAAAAAACAAAATGCATTATTACAAGCTTCTCTCAAAAGATCAAAACTATGAAAAACAATAGTAAAGAAAAAGGAAATTCACCAAAACACTCATTTCATGAATCAAAATTTGACAAAAACCTAACACTATCGTGTTTTTTCCTAGTCTGTAGCATAACCAAACACACTAATCCCAAAATTCTCCTAGCTTTGGTCAATTTATCAAAAGAAACACAGCTAACCCTAACCATCTTCCTAAGTGAGTCCCATTACATGGATCCTACTAGCTCTCCTAACCAGTGGTGGATGCATCCACCTGGAAACCCGAATAAGTGGGCTATGAAAACCTTCGAGGACCACTCAAGTTTGGGTGTATGGTGGAGGAGAAGAGTGCATCGGTGCACTGGCTAGTGCAAATTCTATAAATGATTAATGAAGAAGAAAAATACTATTCTGTTTTTCTAAAAGACTTGGCCAAAACGTCGATTTGAACCAAGCCATTTAAAACAAAATAATTAAAACAAGTCTTCTTATTTTAAATTTTCTTAGTACTTCATCGTCATCATAATCTCTTGGTTTTTTTTTTTAATTTGATATTGCCTTTACCTTAAAGGATATACGAATTTTATTTACATAAACCAAAATGCTTTTATATTTGATTCCCTAATTACTAGTACAAGTCAAATATACATACATTTTTATTTTCAAAATTGCGTAAGGGCTAATTTGGGATTGCAATGTTTTTTTTTTTCTTTTCAAAATTACTTTTATTATGTTGTGAGAATAAATAGCTCTGAAAATAAATAGCTGTGAAAAAAGCAGGTAAATATTTGGTAAGTTATAGTGCTATAAGTGCTTTTAGCACAAAAAAAAAAAAGTTTTTTTGGGGGGGGGGAGGGGAGGTAAGATTGTCAATATAAATGTTTTATTAATTGATAGTGTTCACCGACCTTCAATCAATGAGTAATTGCAGGAAAAAAGATTGAGAGAACGAATGTGTAGTACAAAGAAATCATACCGAACAATAAACCATGATGAAAACAAGAAAAACAAACCCAACAACAGGGCAAACAAAAACACTGAAAACTGCACATAAGGAGCCAAAATCCAGTTATGAGCAGAAAAATTTGATTTGATTTCCAAACAGTTAGAAGTAGGTTTTGGACTCAAAAACCCTAGAACCTAAGAGTAAATAATTTTACAAACATGCTACTCTTACCACTTATTTGTAACGTTATTCTCTCTAAAAAGATGAGATCCAAATAATTTGATGGACCTTATTTCTATTAAAAAGATAATATAAATAATTGTACAAATAAATGATAAGTATAACCAATGTTCTAAAAAACGGCTTAGGGGCTCGGCAGGTTGGAACCGAGGCGATTTTGTGCATAACGGCTGGAAAAATCGGGATGGCTCTAGGCGGCTAGGTGGGTTTTTTTATTTTTTTTTATTTTTATTTTTTTAATTTGTTTAAAGTCTAAGTTATAACCCGTGCCCTACAACTCTCTCTTACTCTAATTTCACAAACAAATACAAAACCAAGCCGTCGTCACTTCGCCTCTCTACCCATTTCTCAAATTCTTCAATTCCTTATTTTCCTCCTATTTTCCATTTTATGTTGTTTTAAATTGTGAACTTGTTGTACGTGTGTTATCCTACAATACTCCTCACTATGGTTATATGGCATATATGCTTAATGTGTTTTTAAATTTTGGACTTGTTGGATACTCTTTTTGCATTTTGTCATACAAGTATAATTTTTTTGTAAGTGCCAATATGCACTTATTTACAAGATATATAAAAAATTTACCTAAATCTGCCTAAGCCGCCTAGAACCCCACCTAGTTGCCTAGGCGCTAGGCACCAACCCGTCAACTGACTAGCGCCTAATGTTTTTTAAAACCTTGAGTATAACACTACCCATAATTTTAACTCCAAGTAAATTTTGCTCGGTCTAGTAAGGCCTGGGGTTGGAGAAATTTTTAGTTGTGACGGAAACACAGATGGTGCACCACGTGTTTGTATGTAAATGGTGGAAAATTTTATTTTTTATGTTATTAACTTTTTAACACATATATTCTACCATTTACATAGTGATATGTGTATGACGATTGCACTGAAAAATCTCTCCTACGAGTACCAACTATAGCCAATCTATGGTCTTGTGGAGTTCACGTTAGAAAGCTTCCATTTTATCTCTCCATAAGACACACGTGGCAGGCTATAAAAGCCCCACCCTCAGAACTGAAATTGGTCGAGAACTTGCTTTCTCAGCTCAATCAATCCTACCTTGTACTTTGCCAAATCCCAAAACCCAACTCAGGAAATATTGCTCATTCTTTTGGTTTGATCTGAGCACTTGCAGCCTTGAACAGAAAAAAGAAGATGGAAAAACTGTAGAAAAAAACACTCCCAGAAGGAAAGAAAGAAAGAAAGAATGCAGGGATTGGGGATTCTTCATACGCCATTGGCATTCAATCCAAGCAAGAAGCTGACAACTCTTCCAAGCTGTCCCGCCCCTTCCACAAAACCCTCATGTAAGTTCTTATCGTTTTTTTATTTTTTATTTTTTGCTCCCTTGAAATCACTACTTCAATTTTGAAGTTTTAACCTTTACTCTCTAACTGTAATTCAAAGATGAACTTGTTGCATATTGCTTAATTGGCTTTGGGATTATATTTTTTTTTTGTATACAGTTTGGTTAATTGCTAGTTTTGTTGGTTGGAAGTTGGGTTATCATGCTTCTGATAATTTAAAGTCAATTACAAGAGTCATTGCCTGTCTGGGTTGACCTTGTACTTGTAGATTGACCCTTGTGAAAGGTTTGCAATCCGGGTTGAGAGAATCATGGTAATTCTCACAGTTTTGCGTAGAATTAGAGTGTGCGTTGAAGTCGGTTCAGGGTGCCAGTTTCTTCAGTTAGTGGTGGTAGAACATGAATTGCTTCTGTTAAGATGAAATGAAATGTGCAACTCTCCCAAAGGTTATTTGCAAGTTGCTGCTTTTTCATTACTAAAGTGGATCGGGGTGCATACAGCATATTTAGTAACAAATTATGTGACTGGTTCGAAATGGTTGAAGTACTACACTGTTCTTTTGCTTCACTCTGTCTGGTTTCTGAGGTGGTGATTTTTGCACCAACGCTGGAGGCTACACTGTTTACCTTTCTTATGTGATCCATGAAGTCCATTCTTTTGTGTGCTTATAGCTTGTTCTGAGTACTACACTGGCTGACTTATTTATAGTGAGGTGTAGACAGATATCGAGGTCCGCCAGCAGAAAAGTACAAGTCCAAGCATCTAATGTTAGTATCGGATCTGGAGGCTATGAAGACAGTGAGGAAAACAGGAACAAGAAAATCTTTCCCAGTGATGCACCCAGTAATGGTTCATCTGAAATGTGAGATATAGTCCATGGATTAGATTCCTTCGAATCATTGGATGTTAAACTGCTAACATCACCTGAGCCATACTTTATATTTCATGATTTGGCAGTGAGAAGCCTCCAGTTCAAATCCCTTATCCTTTCTCCGTGGGTCTTGTGCTGCTTGGGTGTGCTTTAGTTTTTGCTCTGATTGCATTTGTGAAAGGAGGACCTTCAATACTTTTAGCGGCAATCGCAAAATCAGGCTTTACAGCTGCATTTTCTCTAATATTTGTTTCTGAAATTGGTGACAAGGTAACTAATTTTTCGCCTTGGCTTCTCTATTTTGTTATTTTGAGGAAGTCTCTTTAAATTTAACCAGAACCTATTTTGATATATCAAATCCCTTATCCTCTTTAGGTTCAGTAGTTTCCATTTTGTTATATTAAATCCCTTATCCTCTTTAGGTTCAATAGTTTCTATTTTGTTATTTTAAGGAAGTCTATTTTGATTATTGTGTTGGCTGAGATTGGACATACCATCATGACAGGTCCAACAAGTCAAACGATTGAACCTAAAACCTATGTCATAATTCTAGTTTCCAATACACGAACTCTCTGTAATTTTTTCCCATTGTGTGTGCTACAAGAATTGAAAGTGGACCTAAAGTTATACTTTCTGTCCATTGACCAGACATTCTTTATTGCTGCACTCCTGGCCATGCAATATGAAAAAGTACTGGTATGATTCTTTCTAACTCATCTGAAGTTTCACCACGTATCCATTAAGATTGATTGTGCTCTTTCTTCAGTTATTCTGCCAATCTTTACAGATGCGCATACGTACATGTAGTATTTGTTGAATGAGTTTGTATGCCTAGTGACATATGAATATATTCTAAAATACGGACAAACCCTTGATTTCTACTATGGAAACAAAATGCGGTGTTTCTCCTCGCAACAAAAGATCTTTTATTTTCTGCTTTTCTTCCCCTAATATGTTATGGAGAAGGACATTGTGCTTCAAAATCATCTATGTACATCTAAGTTGTTTTCAACCTGGTGCTGCCTTTATTTTGGAATGAAACCAGAAACAATGTTTCGCTCATTAGTTTGCTCTAGTCGAGCTAATGGTATTTTCACCATCTATCGAGCTTAAACACAGTTAGGATAAAATAAATCTTGGAATATTCTGAAGTAATTCAAGTATATTAACTCCAATATGTATATTAGAGAAAGAGACAACTTGTAATTTGATAAAACTAGCAAGATCAAATTAATTCCAACAACCTATTAAGTTGATATCTAAATTGGTTCAAGCATTATGTTACCCTCCCTATTCACTCTAGAATGTTACTCTGTTAGGAGATGAAAAATTCTTGAAAACTTATCACAAGATCCTTTTGTTCATTTTGTGATCTGTAATCACCTGTTGATATCTTGAACATGAGTTTCGAGTTCCATTGTTGAATTGGATCTCTGTTTATGATCTTCACTGCCCTTAATACAAAACAATCGAGGCATCATTATGGGAACAACTTAGTTAAATGGTGTTGGTTAGATTGCAAATGCTAGTTTGCTCTTCAGTTTTAATTGAAGAATACTCGGTTTCTTGCTTAAATTGAACAGGTTCTGTTGGGTTCAACTGGTGCTCTTACACTTATGACAGTCCTGTCTGTCATTATTGGGCGAATATTTAACTCGGTCCCTGCTCAATTCCAGACAAGTAAGTTGTAATTCTTGGCATTTTTCATCCAGAACATATTTTCTTGACAAGTAAGTTTCCGAATGTTAGTTATGTAGGACATTTATCTTTGATATGTATCCAGTGAAAGGATGTTAATGTACTGCTATCAGCAGATCAGTTAGATATTCACTGCTAATCAGCTTCCCAGTCAACATTTTTATAAAGATAAAGGTTTAGTCTAAATGACTTCCCTCCCCCATCCTAAGGTCCCTAATCAACATCGTTAATGGTGTTTACCAACTTTATCATTGTTTTCAAATACAATGCTAGCTGGTTTGTTGTCTATGTTGCATTGCATGCAACGTGTCTTGTTCTCTACTCGCTTGTCTTAGTTGATAATGTCTACCAGATAGCCTAAAAAGTTCTTAAACAAAGAAACATTATTCTCGTGACTCAATTTTGATCTACTCAGAAATGATCTTGAGTTCAACCACGCCGTCCTTTTGGGGACTCTCCTAGTGGTATTGGGGTTCCTTCTAGTATTTGTTGGTACTTGGTATACGTAAACAGGAGGATTACATGTGTTCAGGTGCTCATAGGAAATGTAATACCCTACACATATACTTATGGCTCTCTCTTGGGTAAAATCACAAACTCAATATAAATGAAGTTTGAACAGAAAATGATGTCAGAGTGCTAAATTTCATGAAAAAAAAGGGTGTAATTTTGTAAAAAGACCAAATGGACATCATCTGCATCGACTTTGATGTCAATAAATCCTAGTTCTCACCCATAATTCTACCTGAAACCCACCACGTCAGAGAAGCAAAGTTCCAAATTACCCATACATGCCGCTGCTGCATTAAAGCCAGTGTTAAATCATCAAAGGTGCCTATAGATTTTCTGTACAGAACTTAAATTTTTAGATAAAGCTTTCTCCTCTTTTGATGAATGAATTATTATGAATTTGTATGCGCTTGGATGGTAAGAGATGGATGATTAGTCATACATTTCCATTCCGAACTCCTTCCGTTGTGGGTATTTCCAGTGTGAACAAGTTAAACTATACTTGTACTTGATGTTTTAATATTATACAAATCTAAACTCTATTTTACATTCAGTCTCCTCATCGTTTTATTATTTCGTGGTCATGCCAACAGCCTTGCCAATTGGAGAATATGCTGCTGTAACTCTTCTGCTATTCTTTGGTCTCAAATCAATAAAAGATGCATGGGACCTGCCATCCAGTGATGTTAAAAGTGGTGATAAAAGCAGCCCTGAGCTTAATGAATACACCGAAGCTGAGGAGCTTGTGAAAGAGAAGGTAGTCTAGTTATTCACAAGTTTACATGTCTCAGGCTTTGTGCGGTCGTATAATTTTCCAAGTCCATTTTAGACTATTCTGTTCTTATTCATTCTTATTGTTTTGTACTTTCTCAGGTGTCAAAGCGGCTCACTAATCCACTTGAAATTGTCTGGAAATCATTCACCCTTGTATTTGTTGCCGTAAGCATATTTCCCTTATCTGCAGCAACATGTTAACGTGCATATCAAATGTCTACTTAACTATCAAGTTTCCCAGACATGTCAGACATCATGGAAATCTTTGTTCTCCAACATTTTTGTGATCTTTAACCTTTAACTGCATATCAATGTGAATGACAGTGCCTTCATATGCAATAAAATGGCAGAAGTTCCCTTGTACTAAAAGGAAACTTATGTCTGCTGAACGAACAATTGTGGCAGTCCCAGTTTTTATACTAAAAGGAAACTGTAATTTTCCAGCTGTTTCATAACAACAGATTTCAAACCTGACTATATTGTTTTTGTTTCTAGGAATGGGGAGATCGCTCAATGCTCGCCACAATTGCTCTCGGTGCTGCACAGGTTCAACCTTGTTTAGTTTCATAAAAGCATAAATCTTTCTTCCATGTTCTACTGGATCTTGATGATAGTTTCCTCTTAACACTTCTTGAATACAGTCTCCATGGGGTGTGGCAAGTGGAGCCAGTGCTGGACACGTACTTGCGACATCTATCGCTGTTCTAGGAGGTGCATTTCTCGCCAATTACATTTCCGAAAAACTGGTAAGAACCACAACTTTCCCATGATATTAATAAATTTGAAAACTTGCGGTTTGATGCCGTGTCACAATAGTGCAAACTAACCGTATTTTCAATCAGGTTGGCTACGTGGGAGGTGGGTTGTTTCTAGTTTTTGCAGTAGCCACATTTTTCGGAGTTTTCTGAAAATTCTTGCTAGCTTAGGGGAGAGAGAGAGAGAGAGAGAGATATCAGTGCATTGAGAAAACATCGCTGCACATGTGGCGGCCGAGGAGTAGTAATCGGAAGACTTATAGAAGAGCTGAGGATGTGCTAGTGGAGTACATGCATTGCTGGTAGCCTTGTAGAGGAACTTTACTCGAATCTGAAAGGTTTGTAGTGAAATGTTGAGAAGTTTGGCAGGGGACAGGGGGCAGTGGCAGATGTTCTTTCATCTGCTCAGTGGCTTCTCTGGATGCTTTGTACTATATAATATAACGGTCCTCCAATTCCTGTGAACGCAATTGTTAGAAATTGAACAACAAAATTAACGGTCTTAATCACTTTTTAATCGCAGCTGTTGTCCCAGTGCTAGCTATGTTACAGATGCTGTTAATGTTTCGTAGTAGTGTTTTACGGTGAGTGGTGACAGCGAGTTAAGGGTACTAAGAACACTTTTTAGTGGTTTCTGGATGAAGTGCCCAACATATACTTCTTCAAGAAGCACTTCCAAGTTCTTTTTCAGAAGCAATTGACTTCCAACAAAGAATGTAATCAAGAGAGATAAAAAGAAACACAAACTACTTTCCTTGTAGAGGGTGGAGGCAAAACATTACTTGCACAACAGGACAACTTGGTCAACTCTTAGCACAATGACTTGTAATGCATTTTACAACACAGTATAAACGAGGCTAGTGTCGCTAAAAAAATCAGCCCGCAGCAGTACTCTTCCAAAATTTCCAAATGTTGAAGGGGTGGGTAGCTTACATTATCTGTTTCTCTGTGTCCCGTGGGATTGAGGATCCAAGTCACTCGTATATGCATTGATGAGACCGGAATGTGCCATTTGAGAGCAATCTGACTAAAAGTCTCTCAAGTATTCTTGCTCGTGGACTAGGCCTCAAAATATCAGCATCCCCCCACACTGAACATGTGTCATTTGCAAACCCACCTAAACACCAGCCTCCGGGAACAATTTTTCCTCGTCTGCGTTTTAAAATTTCTCTATCCACTCGGTCAAGGATTGGATCGTCTAACTGAAGTCCAGTGGCAAAGGCCGCTCCATGCTGAATCATAGCATCATAACCAGTGGAACTGATTGGCTGGGGCTTCTCTCTAGGGGGTGTGTCGGAATTAGCATATACTAAGTTGTGGTTTATGATAGTCTTATTGAACTGCTGGGAGTTGCAAAGAATGGTGGGGAAGTAATTCGAAAGAGCAGAAGGTGTGTTTGAGAAGTACATCAACAAAGTCCTTGGCAGGTTTTCAATACCAACAACACAAAATTCAATGAAATTACGACTTAGAATCGTAAAAGAAGAACCTGCAGAAAAAAAATGATCATAGCAGTTAGTTTGACAAATTTTTCATTTGTACTAGAATAAAGTGCTACTTCTTGGTTTCCAAACGATCCCTAGCGCATACAGAAAAGAGAGAAAGGTAGCTTTTACATAACAGCGGTAAGAAAACAATTACGAGTGAATTATCATAACAGTTTAAATCTCCAAAGTAATAGTGTTTTCAGGATAGCTTACGGGCATCGTGGGAGCAATAACTGGCACGTATCACTTTTTCCATGGTCTCAGTCCTCCAAAAGCCTTTACAAGTTACAAGTTAATAAATGGAAAACAGTAGTCATTGCCGTATAGGTCATTGCCATATAGGCAATTACTCTTGAATCTATCCACAAGTTCAACCCAGGTATAAACATGATATTAACCTCTATACACTGTCTCTTTGTGACAACTCAACAGTTAACTTTAAGGATCTTGCATATTTACACCATCAAGATTTTTTAAGTAGCTCCTTCTATGTTGCATACTAGAATGATACGGGTCAACTCCTGCTCGTGCCAAAGATCTTGCCATTTCCGAAGAAACTGGAGTTACATCTCTTTTGCATTTCCATTCAAGAGTTCTTATGTGTTTCCACACCCCTTTGAGACCCCGAAAAATGGACAACTTCCTTTTCTTAGGAACACATACAAGATTCGTCACTACAAAAAGGATAATGGTAAGGAGGGTACAAGGTTAGCCTATGAGCTGCGGGACAAGATGCAAAACTTTAGTGAGGAAGAGGCTTAAAGATCTTGAAAAAAGAACGAGTGAGGACGTGTCCAAACCCGGAAGGGCTGCTCTAACCAACTAAGCTAATAGGGGTGTGAAAGATACAGTTACTCATGATTTTTTTTAATGCGAAAATAAATGTAGAGATGTTTGTGTTCGTATGTGTATGTGAAAGAGAGAGACCTGGTGTCTAATTGGAAAGGAATAGTGTATAGCATTTGATGAGGATGAAAAAAGATAATCGCTAGCTCTATGTTTGTTGATAACAAGGGGGAAACCGAGTTCTTCCTAATATATTTTGGCAGTTGACGCTATTGATTTGAAACCAACTCTATGTTTGTCCGTAACCAGTAATCAAATTTTAGTTCTGAACTCAAAGATAAAGCACCAAGTTGTTTACTTAAGTTGGGAACTCAAACTCACTTTGTAGGAGTGGAAATTGCAGGGCTTAAACTAGGTCCTCTCTGTTCATCTCAAGGTTCTCCACCACCAAAGGAAAAACCACTAGATTGCTGTTCAAGAATTGGTTCTTTCATTGCCAACATTAGTTTTATCCTAAACCACCAAAACATGGGTCTACAACATATCTCCTCAACATTCTTTACACAGATGACAGTGGGTAAGCAAACTGGAAGGATGTTTCCTTTAGGATTTGTTCCCATCTCAAGCAATGCAAGCGGAACCGACAAACCATTTAGGCTCAAGGGAATGTTTGCTTTAATCTAATAAATGCTTGAAGAGCCCCATCCTCCAAAAAACGACATTGTGCTAAAACTATTAATTACTTAAGTCAACCAACGTTAATTGACATGACCAGCCATGTTTAACTACCATAAGGATACCTGAGAATCCAGTAGTGGGACTGCTGATATAGCCTAATTATACAATTCTACAAGCTCCCACCACTTTAAAATTATAACACTAACTGATGGGAGTACAGTAGATGGATAAATCTCAGTTAACTTTTGCAAGGCTAACCTAGATAGATTATTGATATTCATTCAGTTCCTAAACAACACATTGTATGCAATTGTAGCTCAAACTAACTTACAGGCAATCGCTCTTTCCACATTACACTTTCCGCTCTAATAAGTGAAATGCAGGACTGAAATTAGGCAAAAATTAGTCAACAAAAAGAATAAAAGAAATGTACCTGTGAACAACCGGTAAGCATTAGGCAACACCCTTTTCTGTGTAGCATAGAACATGTCAGTTTTCTCCGAAAGATAAAGCCCCGGGTCAACAATTATCGGTCTCAATCTCCTAGACCTGTAGCACCAAATAAATACAAACCTCACACTCATTCACAACATCCACCACAAAACTCGAGTAACAATAACATAAAACTCGAAATCAATAAACCAAGGAAAATGTTCGCACTCTCTCCAGCCGATATAACTTGAATGGTTCACAAAGTTTAGATCTTTCGGCAGGAATGACATAATGTGAAGAAGATCTGCAGAAGCCAGAAAAACCAATATAGAAAACCATACAAAAAAATCAAAATTTACGAACAAAACACCAGAACTGTGAATTGAAATCCAATTAAATGCCAGGAATTGAAAGCATCCGAACCATCTTGTGTGATTAGTGGGTAATCACGAACACTGAGGCTGATAAACCAATCCCAATTGGGCGACAGACGCAGCAGTATCGAGGCGCCATGGAGCGTAAAGGAGATAGCAGAAGAGCCAGTTGGGTACACAAAATCGGCCTTACCAATGACATGGACATTCTGGGCAGCTCTGAAAATGGGCAGTGATTGGACTCTGAGAGCCAACTTTTCCCTCTCGGAATCGGAGGCAGAGCGGTCGAGGTGGAGGAGATACTGGTTTCTGGGGTGGTAGGCGGCGTGGAGAAGTCTCAGGATCCGACCCAAGTCCCCTTTTGACCCGGACACGAGGTAGGCGATGGAGGGAGGCGTGGGATCTGAGGAGTTGTTGTCGTGGTAGATGATGCGGTGGGCTTGCTGGTTGGGGAAGAGAAATGGGTCGGGTCGATAATGGCGGGAGGCAGCGGAGGAGGAGAATGACGAGGAGGAGGAGGAGGAGGAGGAGGATGAGGAGGAGAAGAGGAGGATGAGGAGGGCGAAAATGGAAAAGACGATGATGATTGAGAGGAGGGCTTTGGGGTCTTTGATTGAGAGGATGGGGATAGCAGCGGAGGAGGCGGTGGTGGGTGTGGAGGAGAGAAATGGAGACGGTGTTTGTGTTGGTGGCGATGGGGTGGAGTCTTGCATTGCTAGGTACTGTGACAGTGTGGTGGATGGAGGAGGATCTGATGACATTGAGGACGATCCTTGGGTGTTACGTGGTTCTCAAGTTCACTTGATTTGATTCTCACCGCCCACCTACTCTGTTTTCCTTTTCCTTCTGATTTTACTTTCTCATCCCCTTCTTTGCTATTTTTTTTTTTTTTTTTTTTGAAAAACTAGCCAAAACACTTTAGAAAACTTTCATTTAATCACAAGGACAAATAATTTTCAAAATGCTAAGGTTGTCTTTGAAAGCCTTAAAAAGGCAAAGGTGTTCCAACTTCCAACATTTAGCAGAATTCACGCATTTATCAAGATAAAGCAAAAAAAGACAAGCAAGTTCATATGCAAAAGAAGACAAATAAGTCAGATCACATTTAAAAAACAATGTTGACAATTTCATCAACAGTAGAAGCAAAATGACAAATACCAAAAAGATGTCCACATTATTCATTTTTAAAGAATTTTTTTATTTTTTATTTTTTATTTTTATTTTTTTCCGTAGTATCCTCACCCACTTTATATAAGAGGAGTTCCATTCATTGTAAAGACACCGTACTCACACCATACGCACACCATACTTCAATCCTTATACACTCAAGCATCCAAAACCTTCCTAGAATTTTTGTAAACACTTCTTTGTAAACACTTATCTTTGTAAACATTCTATATATCAATAAAAGTTCAAGTGCACAGATTCAAGCAATCTCTAAGTTTTAAGTAAGTTTTCTTTCTTTCTTTAGTGTGTTTCTTTAATTAAACTTTTAGTCCAAAACAAAGAAACATTATTGTAGTTATATTATTAACCTGCTAAACTGACAATCCTACTTTGTTCGAGCACTTTGTTATAGTTGAATGTTTGCCATATAAATAACTGGACATTAATCAGTGCACATCTAAGTTCTTCATACCTCTGATTTCAGCTGTTATGACTTTATACCTGCATTGTGAGTGGTCATCATGCTGAAACATTTCGAGTTCCTTGTGCAAGGTTTTATGTTTAGTTGTTATAATGGTCATCCGACTATTTAATTGGGCTTGCTTATCGAATTTGGTATCAGAGCCAAGTTTAGTATTTTAATAGTATAAATATAATAGTAAAGTACCTTGAGGATGGAAATCATTAACACAACTGATATCACACTCTTTTATTTTGCATGAATAACAAATATTATTATCTTTGTAGACCTTGTCAACCACAACCACTAGGTATCTATTGTCCTAGACACCTGACTATAACTAGCATATATATCCAAAAGAACTAGTAGGACTTTGAAGAAGCAAAAGTTTTATCTTGGTTATCTTGAACATCCTTCATTTATTTGTAAATACAATAACACAGAAGTGCAGCATAGAGTTTTAGAAGCAAAAAGAGCAACATATCAAGTTTTAGAGACCCTGAGAGAAGAAAGAGAGTTTCTAAGAAACTAGTTAGCGGTAACTTTAGAGAAAGGTAGATTGTAGCTTATGATAGATTACCTTAATTTAGAAATTAGTGAACCTCAAAAAAAGAAAAATAACCTTAGACCAGAATAGTTTAGTTTGTTATTTTCCATTGAGAAAGCATAATCATATTTTGCATAGTAAAGAAAATCCACAAGCCAATAATATTGTAGATCTTATTATTAGTCAAGCAAAAAGTATAAAATTAGAAAATAGTAAGCATAATCATTTGTTGAACTAGTTGTTAGAGCATTTTTAGAAAAATTTCATAAAAACAATTAGACGAAATTTAGATTATATTACATCTCAGTTAGAAGATAATAATAAAAATATTCAAAGGTTTCCTAGCAAAAGAGAGATAAAAGAGCTTATTGACCTCATAGATAGTAAGCCTAAGCAAGTAGAACTCAAATCATTAGAAATAGTTGAGCAGTTAAAATTGGAAGTTCAAAAAATTCAATTAATGCAAAAAGAGTTGAGTGAACAAGTAGATAAGTTGCATAACAAAATAGATAGATTATTAGGTTAATGACCGATTCTAGAACCAGTAGAAAATATATCCAAGCTTTGAAAGAAATTAGTAAGTTAAATAAAGAACCAGTACATTTAACAGATTTTTCAACACAAGTAGCTAGTATTAATATTCTCATTAGGCAAAATAATTTAATTATTCAATTAGTTTTAAGTTTGGCTAAAAATTAGATCAAGTTGAAGAACAAATAGTAGAAATAAACCAAGTTTTACATAACACATCTTCATCACTTCCACCATCTTTGTTAGAAAAATTAGAAAATTTAGCTTTAAGTACCAATAATCATGTTAGAAAACCTAAAATAAATCATTTTGATAACAGAAAATGGAACTTTTTAAGAGAAAAGGAAAAGAAATAGTTAAAGCCGAAGATATCTACCCAAATAATGAGGAAGCACAAGAATTTATTAGAAGAGGATTTGAGAAAACATAGAAAAATAAATATAATTTGTACCAATTATTTGAAAATAGAAGTAGAATTGTAAGTAGCATCAGTCAACATGAAGTTAGTTGTATTGATAAAGAAGTTACACTTAATTTACTTAGTAAGAAGCAGTTATCCATTTAAAAAAATCACATTTCAGTCATATTACATATGAACAATATTAATTGGAATAACAGGATTAATCAGAGCACAAGTAGGCACAAAAGCTTTAGTATACATATATGATAATAGATGAAATAATCACCAACAAGCAGCAATAGCAACAGCTGAAGTAGATTTAAGTTCAAACTTAGCAGTCATAGGATGTATTCCAAATTATGTTATGACAATAAATGAATTTAGTAAATATATTAAAGTGAGCATAAGAACAAAATATTATAATATTAAAGGAGAGTATAAAAATTTGTGTATTAATTTAATGCATATTGGAAAAGTGTCTGATAAATATAATCATAAGTTTAATTTAGAATTTCAAAATTTAGTTTAAATATTTGGTAGTAAGCATATAAATATGATAGAAGCAAAAACCATAGATAATAACTTTTTAGAAGGAACTCAGTGGATATTACCTAATTTACAAGTAACAAAAGATAGATAACTAGATAGAATACAAATATATGAAACTAGTACAGGTAAAGCAACAATTAGGTTTAGTAATTACAAGCAACTAGAAAATATAGAAGAGGATGAGAGTGAGATCGAAAATGAGAGTATTCATATGACTTTTGATAATTTAGATATTAATTTAGTTGAAATTTTTTTTGATCATATTGTAGATAAGCTTATAGAAGATATTGATCATTTAGATGAAGAACAATACTTAGAAAAATATAAGACATACGATTTAGGACTACATATAATTTCATATGAAGAGATGAAAAAATTAATTTTAGAAATAGGAGTAGAACATATTTTAGGATCAAAAGAATATAATAATTTATTAGAATTGGAAAGTAGAATGTAATCCAGCAGAAGAAAGTAGTACATCAGGAGTAGAAAATCCAGGATACATAGGCAGAACTAATCAACAATTTTTTAGACCAACAAATGAGCAATATAATGAACAAACAAGAGTAGATTACATAGAAGAAAGTATAATGAAACCACCTAAAAAAAAATAGAATTTCATATTTAAGAGGATTAGAACAAATTAATATAGCAGGTAATATATTAAACTTAGATAGTGTAGATCCACAAGAGAGAACAATTGAGAGATGAGAAAAATGTTGCGTACATACAACATTAATGTTAGATTTTAGTAATTCACAAAATATGTTAGATTATTTTGAGCATACTTTAGATGGTTTGGTTTTTTATTATTTCCATTCATGGAAAGTTCAAAATCCAGAACAACATCAGGTAGCTAAAACGCATTTTAATATTGATGGTTTTGTTACTTTGATTAAACAAGAATTTTTAGATCATAATAGGTTAGATGACAGAAGCGAACATGTAATATCCCACATCGTCCAAGGGAGTGGATCCTGTAAGCCTTATATGTATATTCCCATCTCTACCTAAAACGAGGCCTTTTGGGAGCTCACTGGCTTCGGAGTTCGTCGGAACTTTGAAATTAAGCGAGTTCGGGTGAGAGCATTCCCAGGATGGGTGATCCACTAGGAAGTTCTCGTATGAGTTCCCATAAACAAAACCATGAGGGTGTGGTAGGGGTCCAAAGCGGATAATATTGTGCAATGGTGGAGTCGAGCCCAAGATGTGATGGGGGCCCAGGTTGGGATGTGACAATTTGGTATCCTTGGTCGGAAGTATGCCTACAGGGACGTCGGGCCCCTAAGGGGGTGGATTGTAACATCCCACATCGTCCAAGAGAGTGGATCCTGTAAGCCTTATATGGATATTCCCATCTCTACCTAGAACGAGGCCTTTTGTGAGCTCACTAGCTTCGAAGTTCATCAGAACTTCAAAATTAAGCAAGTTCGGGTGAGAGCATTCCTAGGATGGGTGATCCACTGGGAAGTTCTTGTGTGAGTTCTTAGAAACAAAACCGTGAGGGTGTGATAAGGGCCCAAAGCGGACAATATTGTGCTACGATGAAGTTGAGCCTGGGATGTGGTGAGGGCCTAGGCCGGGATGTGATAGAACAAGAACAAATAAGAGCAATTACAAATTTAGAACAATTACAAATTTGTGATTTATAGTATATAGCTGAGTATACTACAGATTTTTTAAATATTTAGGAAGAAGATGTAGAATTAGTGATATAAATTTATTAGACACCTTTATGACAAAAATAAAAGGACCAATAGTTGAAAATATTTGGAATGAATGACAAAAGCACCCAAAGAAAAATGATATTGCACTAGGATCTAGAATTCAACATGTATATGATATACTTAGACAAAAGTGTAATCAAATAAAAGTTAAGAGACAAATTAGGAAACAATTTTAATGAGCTATAAAAATATAGATTTACCATAACAGTATGATTGTCATAAAAAAATAAGCATAAGAATATATACAAAAAGAAATATAAGTCATATAAACCATATATACAACATAACAATTTTAGTATAAGACATTCAAGAACATATAAGAAGAGAAAATATATTCCAAAACAATTTAGGAAACAAAGTGGCAGACCTTGGATTATAAAATATAAAGCACCAAAAGATAAGAGTAGTTGTAAATGTTATTTATGTGAAAAAGTTGGGCATATTAGAACTAAATGTCCAAAATTAGGAAAACAACCGAGAGATAAAGTACATTTGATGGAGTTATTTAAATTAGAAGATGATGAGGATATGCAGTCAATATATAGTTTAGATAATTTAAGTGATAATGAGAGTATTTATA